CCCGGTATATTTCTCTGTCTCTGTCTCTGTCTCTGTCTCTCTCTAATATAGTGTGGACCACTACACTTGTTGAGGCTCTGGGTTTGATATCTAGCACCACCTAAAACAAAATAAAACAAAAACCCTACAGAAACTGAGCAGTACCCTGTATTTTTTTCAGGTTCCTTCCAAAGCTGTGAGCAGCTGGATTCAAAGAGGGACCTCACTTGGGCTTTTCCCTGTGTGCTGCTTGCCCTCTAGCAGGAGGGACTGAGGAGTTGGCTGGTTCTGCTTTCTCCCAGCTTATCTTTTGGTTGTCAGCATTGCACCATCAGCCCTAAGCAGCTGACTCCAGGCTGCTTTTGGCAGTGAGCAGAACTGAAATAAATCTTTTGGGGAAGTGTGTTCTGTTAGCTTGTGCCATTCTTGGTTAGTTCTTTCAGACTTCATTCTCAAAGAGCTGGGCTGCTGCTGGTTTGTTTTTAAATTACACTTTACTTATTATAATTTGTATGTGCCCATGTGTGCGCTTGTGTGTGCTCATGTCACATGTGGATGTGGATGTTAGAGGACGGTTAGCAGGAGTCTTTTCTTTGGAGGTGGAATTCAGGCTGCCAGACTTCTGTGGTAAGCACCTTTAGCCTCTGAACCTTCTCATCAGCTTTTCTTAGTCAGCTCCTTCCTTCATTCTCAGTAGTGAAGCCTTTGGACGTCAACCTCTGGAGTCACATGGGGCTCTTGACATTCTTTCCTGGGTCACAATCAGGACCGTTTTCAGTTATAGGGGCACAGTGTGTTTTTAGATAGAACCTCTAAATGAGCAGTGTGGCTCTTCAGTTTGCCTTCCTCAGTGAAGGAGGAGGAGGCAGCTCTTGTCCTCAGACCCGATTTGAGCAATGCAGGAACAGGAGCATGCTGGCCGCCCTTAGTGCCAGTTGGTCTCAGCGGGGGCTGCAAAGAAGGTTAATCTCAGTAGGGGGGAGCCACAGTGTCTGGCATCTGTTTTATGCTCAAGGCTCAGAATGCTGAGGTGCATGATTCTGTTCTGGATCCCGCTGTGAAACACTCTTCTATAGGGTACCCAGCATCCCCAGAAGATGTCGGGGCTTGTCTGTCTTGAGTCTCACTTCTTAGAATCAGTTCTTTGTTGGTTAGAACTGTGCAAAGAGAAGTTGCCTTTCCTTCTTGGGTACTTTAACCTGACAGCAAAGAGAGTTTATCTGATCACTCTACTTTGGACTTCCTGAACCTTCAGCTCAGTACTCATTAGTGGTGTCCTTCCTTCTGTGGCCAGAAGGCTTGGGGCTTTTATCTTTGTTCAAGTATCTGCTTGATATCCCCCCCCCCCACAGGGTTTCTTTGTGTAGCTTTGCACCTTTCCTGAAACTCACTTTGTAGCTCAGACTGGCCTTGAACTCACAGAAATCCGCCTGCCTCTGCCTCCCAAGTGCTGGGATTAAAGGCGTGTGCTACCACGGCCCAGCTGCTTGATATCTTGACACTGAGGCACTTCATATCCCAGCACTTAGGCACATAGTTTCATAGGTTTTCTTTCTTCCTTTCTTTTTTTTGGTATAGTGTACTCTAAGCTATTCTTGAAACTCCCTATGTGCACCAGGATGGTCTTGAATTTATTCTTTAAAAATTTAATTGATTAATTTTATGTGTATGTGTGTTTGATCTGTGTGTCTGTGCACCCCGTGGGCCAGAAGAGGGTATTGGATGGCCTGGGATTGCAGTTAGAGGTGATTGTGATCTACCCTGGGTATAGGACCTCAGGGCTTTGTAGGTGCTAGGCAAGCATTCTGTGAACTGCGCTACATCTCCAGAAAACTGTGTGCCTTCTATTCCTTAGTAGTTTTGTAGTATTGGGACTGAGTGATGCAGGATCTTGTGCTGCCAGTTGACACACTTGCCCCGCTGCTGAGCTTCTACAACCCAGCCTGCAGTCCTTAAACAAGGTTGGGTTTTCCTGCCCTGATAAAACTAAGTCCAACTTGCCGGGCGGTGGTGGCGCACGCCTTTAATCCCAGCACTCGGGAGGCAGAGGCAGGCGGATCTTTGAGAGTTCGAGGCCAGCCTGGTCTACAGCGTGAGATCCAGGAAAGGCACAAAGCTACACAGAGAAACCCTGTCTCGAAAAAACCAAAAACAAAAAAACAACAACAACAAAAAAAAAACTAAGTCCAACTTGCCCCATCTTTCTCATTCCCATGAAATTTGCCTTATGTTTGTCAACCTTACTTCATATTGTTAGCATAGAGTGCCAGAGCTACAAAATATGTTTGTACATAGGCCTTTTTCCCCGAGACAGGGTTACCTCTGTGTAGCTTTGCGCCTTTCCTAGAACTCGATTTGGAGACCAGGCTGGCCCAAACTCACAGAGATCTGCCTGCCTCTGCCTCCCGAGTGCTGGGATTAAAGGCGCTCGCCACCACTGCCCAGCCTACACAGGCCATTTTAAAATTCCATTTCTTTTATGAACATTCAATGTTCCCTCCCTCCCTCC